TCGACTGAAGTTTTTGTTTTTGTGTACATATTTTTCCGAATATTTGTGCTCGGGGTATTTCTTGGCCTTATTAGTTTCGAATTTAAATCGATAGCCGATCTAAGCCTTTTTTATCAACTGAAATGTTTTGCAGATCAAATATAACAATTATTTCACCTATGAATTTTTCTCATTGAAATATGGGGTATTTTAGACTGCCAATTTGTGACAAATTTGCATGTCAAATATATATTTTGTGACCTTCTCTCTCTCTCTCTCTCTTTCTCTCCCTCCATCCTCTCCCTCTCCGTCTCTCCTCTCTCTCTCTCTCAATCTTTTCTTTCTCCCTCTCTCTCTCTCTCTCTCTCTCTCTCTCTCCTCTCTCTCCCCCCTCTCTCTCTCTCTCTCCTCTCTCTCTCCCCTCTATATATCTCTCTCTCTCTCTAGATGCAACTGGCAAGAAACTGAAAACAATGTGAATACAGTTTTTCGGAATAAGCTTTCCTTGTCAAGCAGATTTTTGTTTCATCCGCAATTTTTGCCTAACATCTGAAAAAAATTTGTTAGCTGGAGCGGAAAAATATATTTCTATGTGATCATTTTTCATATATTTACAATGGTTTGGATGTGGGATTTTTTGATTGAATAGAGTTAACATTGGGATAATTGACGTGCGATATAATTCATTCAATTAAGCGTACTCCCAATTGAATTAAGGCAAGCAATTTGCTCCTATCGATACGTTACTACAAGTAGAAAAAATATCACCTCATATTTCCATGGCTTATTCTCCTCATTTTTCCAAATACTTCCAGAAAAATGACAGAATATTTGTGCTCCGGGTATTTTTTTGCCAGATTAGTTTCGAATTTTGATCGTTAGTCGATTTAAGCGTTTTTTTAACAACTGAAATTTTGGAAAAAAAAACAAAAAACATTATATCTCGAAAACTAGAAGGATCTGAGCAGTCATATTTGGAGGCAAGATTCACAATCCTTGATAGTACTCTGATAGCACCCAACTACAGGGTTGGTAACTTCAAGGTTGCGAATTTCAAATTTTGAAAAATAATTAATTAAAATTTTCTGAATTTTTTTTTAAAAAATCACTGAAAACGTCATATCTCGAAAATTACAAGGATTTGAACAATCATATTTGGAGGCAAGATTTCTAAATCCTTAGAGTACTCCGACAGCATCCAACTACAAGGTTCAGAATTTCAAAATTTTAGAAATAACTAATTAAAATTTTTGTGAAAAATAACAAAAACACCATATCTCGAAAGCTACAAGGATTTGAGCGGTTATATTTGGAGGCAAGATTCGCAATTCTTGATAGTACTCTGACAGTACCCAACTACAGGTTTGGGAATTTCAGATTTTAAAAAATAATAATTTAGGTTTTCTGAAAGTTTTTGAAAAAATCACAACAAACGTCATATCTCGAAAACTACAAAGAATTGAGCAGTCATATTGGGAGACAAGGTTTGCAATCTTTTAGAGTACTCTGACAGGACCCAACTACAGGATTGGGAATTTCAAATTTTGCAAAAAAAAATTAATCTAAGTTTTCTGAAAATTTTGAAAAAAAAAACAAAAAACGTCTTATCTCGAAAACTACAAGGATTTGAGCAGTCATATTTGGAGGCAAGATTTGCAATCCTTGATAGTACTCTGACAGTACCCAACTACAGGGTTGGTAACTTCAAGTTTTGTAAATAATTTTTTGTTATTTGAAATTTCTGAAAATTTTTGAAAAAATCTCAAAAATCGTCGTATCTCGCAAATTCGTCTTATCTCGTCTTAGGACAAATTCGCAACCCCTAATTCGACATTGGGCTGCTTAAATTAGTCTCAGTCAAATAACCACGAAAATCAAACTGGACTACCGAAAAAAATTCTTAACCATTGTAATATACGATATTGCTTAAATATGCAAAGATAATACGTTGAAAAGCTTAAACATGGCGAGATAGTGAAGTCCGCATTTAAATATATAATAGATGCTAGTTAATACGTTTTCATTGTTTGTTTTCTGCATTTTTAAAGTTCTTTTTGATTCTTGTCATAATTTTTATGCAATCCTACAGAGTGAAACTTCGCCTGCATGTATAGAAGTTCTCAAGTTTAAGGTATCACCTTTTTATTACATGTTTGTGGAGTCTAGAAATAAGTTGAAGTTTCAGCAAAAGTTTTTGAATATTTTTCATAAGAATATGGGGGATTAAAGACTGCCAATTTGTGACCAAATTTGCGCGTCACATACATATTTTGTGACACTAAGGAGTAAGCGGTGATATAACTGGGCTTAACAATTTTTTCTAGTTAATACGTTACTGTAAGAAAGTTATTACATTTCCGATATAAATTGCGTAAAACGGTAGGATCGCACACAAAATACGACCAAAAACAAAACCAACTCTAAAATGCCAGAAAAAACGATGCAAACAAATGCAATAAAAGACTCATAAAGCAGTTTCCCCTGAAAAGAAATCTAGTTCCAGCAATTCAAAATTACCGGAAATTAAATTAATTTTGCCAGAAAACAAAACCGTTTTACGCAATTTATATCGGAAATGATATAACTTTTTTAGAGTAAGGCATCAACTAGAGTAACTTTCTAAGCCTGATTAAATCGCCGCTAACTCCTTAGTAATGAAGGGTTTCAAAAAAGCAAAAAAAGGACCAAAAAGCGCTTTAAATTTTTAGAATTCATTTTACCTGTTACTTTTAATCACATCCCGTTTTCACCGCTTCCCAAAAACGATCAACAGGATTCTTCATTCCATTGGGATTTTAGAAGAACTAAAACTAATTAATGAAATTAAAGTTGCAGCAAATATTAGAGCGCAAACTGCCTTCCATCTAGCGAATTTGAAATGCTTTTATAAAGTGCGCACAGAAAGCTGCCAATGAAATCAGGACAAACAAAACCTATAGTTTTTTGAAAATTTTGAACTTTCCGAGAAAAAACATCATGTTGTAGCTCTTTAACCTCAAAAAATTAACCCAATTTGAAAAACTGAGTCAACAAGTAATTTTGATTATTCCGCTGGAAACTTGAATTGAAATTATAAATTACAACACCAACCAAGTTTTTCAAATGAATTTGAATTGACCTAACGAAGTAATTGAAAGTTAAACAGCGAAAAGTGATACTTTAAGCGTGATCAAATACAACAACCGCATAACTTTAAAAATGTTTTCATGTCGTTCAATGGCGCAACTCGAACTAGCCAAAACAAAAAATTAAGCGTAATTTCTGAAAAATGTCCTAAAAAACTGCAGGACCCAGTAAACGTTGTTTTTTCTAGCATTTTCAATCAAAAAGATTTACCGGCTGCTGTAGAAATAACACAAAAAAATTGACAAAAGTTATTCGTTTAATTTTTAGTTTCAGCTTTTTTTTAATAGAACAATTGAACTAATACAGGTAGAGAAGAGCTAAATAAGACTTCAAAAACGATAACTCACTATCTGACTTGAAGTTATCAGGCTAATATTTTACTTAAATTCAATCACGTTTGTTGCAGCATTAGCACTTAACTTGGACCCTTATGAGCAAATTAACCACGTGAAATACACAAATTTTCTTTCGTTTACTTGAACTTAAAAACTACAAATCTCAATTTGATAACAATTGCACTTTGAGTATATAAAACAACTCAAAAACTATCATTTGAAAACTACAGAAGTTATCATCATTTAGATTGCTCCATTGTTTTGGCTCGTTTCAGATTGATTTCAAATGTGGTTGCAGCAGTTCAACCGTCGTTTTTACTATTTTTGTTTCTCAGTTCGAGTCTGAATCCTATAAAAAACAATATAGAAAACTAGAAATTAGTTTTGCCAGTTTTTCTTCTGCCACATGATTTAACACAGCCAACAGACAGTCAGAACAAGTTCAATGAACGAAAGAAGACTTTCGAAGTTCGTAGAAAACAATAAATGGATTTAGATCTCTTCGAATTGCTAAAACATTTTATAATTGACATTTTTTTGATAAAACTAGCCCAATTTGATCAAAGGTAAAATTTTTTAGCTCACTGTGAAGATAAAAATCCATTTTCGAAATTAGACGTCGATCATTTTTTCGTTACTTTTATACTGTCACTGTTCGATAGTGGATTTTTCCTTCTTTTAACCAAAGGAAACCAAAAGTCGAACCGCCTAAATGTAAAGACAATTTTTTTTTAATTTGCACTTACTTTTTCAGCAACCAACTAGTGAATATATGTAACAAATCTCGCTGAAGACTCCACCTTCGCAGGAAACTTCTTGTCAGCATTTTCAAGCAGCATGTCAGCAAAATGTCGTTGTCTTCCAACTACCTTCATCTTGAATTTTACGGTCCGTTTTAAATGGATAAAGTGCGTACCGTAGCAGTTGTCTCAATTTGCAGTCTCTAACTCCATAAATCACTCAACTACTAATACATACTCAAGACCAAAAACATCCATAGAAAGAAATCCTATTGTGCAATTTATTTATCATAACAAAACTAGTAACAGTTATAGAATTTACCAGTATATTAATGCAGTCAATAGGTCATCCTTGGAGTTCTTTGTTAAAGAAATTAATTCTAGCTGGGCGAATTTTCGAAGACCTTTTATACCGCAGAGGCAGAGCACAAAGCACCACAAACAGAACTAAGAGAAGATTCTTTCGCATTTTTTATCAATTTAGTCTGTTTTAATTAACTGGCAAATCTGATAAGTTAACAACCATAATTACCAAACAGATTGAAGAGATCCTGAATTTGAATGAAGCACTGGCTACGAATAAAAGAAAAAGTTCAGGAGTACAAGAGACCAGGCAACTAGACTTTTTTAAAGAACAATACGGAAGATTTTTAGCACAGAAATCGCACAATTTACACCAGAAAAAAAATGACGTTTTTTGCTCAGCTGGCAAAACTAGAAAGTGCATATATTTTTTAAAACTCACAATAAGTCTAAATTGCCTGAAGTCTTCTATCCTTAACCATATAATTAACCAGAGACGATTCTGATCAAATGAAGCTATTACATTAAAGTTAATTGAAAATGCTAAATACGATTAATCCAAATTTCTCTATTCCACGTCAATTATCAATTCATAAATTTTAATAAAACTTTCATCAAAATAATTATCTATTCTCGGCACATTATTTTTTTCTTCTGTAGTTTGAGACATAGCGTTCATCATAAGTTTCATCAATAAATGCTCGATTTTGTTGTATGTTTCGAACTTTTTGAATAACAAAATTCTAATTAAAATACGGGTGGTTTGACGTACAATTTTATGCATGAAAAGAACGATGTCAAATATTCGGTCAAGAATTGAATGATGATTTCATCTCTTCGTTTTTTTGAGTTGCACTTGAGTTGAATCTTGAAACAAAACTACGAACTGACATTTTATCTCAAACATGCGCATCATTTCTCGCAGTTGAAATTTGAAAATGAATGCGATCAATAAAAATACTGCAATTTGAAAGGTATGAAATGCGTTGAATCTCACTTGGCAGAAAGACCGAAAGTTACAAAAGACAATGAGCATTCAAATCTTTTAAAATATTTGTCTCGGCTAATTTAGTGGCTTTTGATTGGTTTGAAATTACATACGATTCGGTGCTTCTGTCATGAAAAAAGCGCACATCAAACGAGTTTAGTTAAGTTAGGACGGGTTAGTTTTGGTTGAAACACTGCAAATGTTAACGCATTAGAAAGCTCAGAAGTTAAATTCAAACATGATTTCATGAACTTAGATTAGACTGCGAGTAAACAACAAAAGTCATTTGAAATATAAATCTAGACAACTGCTAAAATTTACAAAAACACGGCCGCCTCCAATCAACCAATTCACTCAACTTTTAATTTGATTCAAAAGTGAACAAGTATTGAAAAATTCGGAACAGAAAACAGCACAAAATGATGCGTTTAAGTCAAGCCTATTTTCATGGTAGCAAAAACTTTTAATTCAACAAACATTTTTCATCAGATACAGCACAGCGCAAATTCAAGCATGATTTCGAAAACGCATCATTTGAAAATTAAAACAAATTTTGGTCGGAATTCAACAGCAGAAGATGCATCCGAACTGAACACTTAAGCACTGGTACTGAATAAGTTATAAATAACTGGTAAGAGTTGGTTTAGTGATGTTAGAAGAGATAGTTCAACTGTTTCATCACGTTCTGTTTCCACGGGGGCAAAGACCTGAATTGGTCATGAGTCATGGCGAAGAGATCCACAAATTCCTCATCTGAAAGATGCAACTCTAGTCTACTTCTGTTCACGTCCTCCGGTAACCGTTTGTTCATATTTGTGAACAGCTTTTCCTTGGGATACACCTTCACATTTTCAGATCGACTTAGACTCCCAACGGACATCCTAATGTGTTGCATGCACGCTTCTTTCTGCTGTTCAAATAGCAGATTTCCCTTCTTGTGGTACATCTGCACGTATGTTAGGAACCTCTCGTGGTACCAGGCCTTCCTGACGTCCAAGGAGTTGTACCTTGTCATCTTCCTTCGTCCCATTTCTGGACTGCTATTGTAGCCACCCTCTGATTTATATCCGTCCATTCTAAACTTGCCTCGACTTGAAGTCATGTCACTGTACTTAAACCTTCGCATGCCTTCAGTGTCAGACATGGCTCCATCGACCAAAGAGTTCGAAGTGCTGTTGTGTTTCCATGGATGCGCACTGGCATTCGTAAATCTCTGGAAGCCTTGCATAAAATTGTTATAGTCGTTCATACCCATTGGTTCATTTATAGCCTGTTCCAGGAGCCATGTGTCGCAATACCTGTTGATTCCTGTCGCGATGGGACCAAACTTGATCTCGCAGAAGTATGGAAGCTGGACCTCTGTCTTTGCGTCGGGAGACCTGGATGCTTTAATTGGATCATCAGGAACATACAATGCTTCCACATCGTCCTTCGTCGCATTCGTATCAATTTGCATTTTCAATTCTCTTAGAATCTCTTTGCCTAGTCCCGATTGCATTCGATCAATTTCGTCTTCGGTTACATAACCCCTACCCTCCGCTTCCGAATCTTCGATTGGACTGTCTTTGTTCATCGTCTGTCCGTTCATGCCGCCTACATCTCCATTGGCATAATTATCTGTTTCATATTCAGTGTCTGAGCTATCTGCAACTCTGGTAGAGGCTTGAACAGTGGTGTCAGTCTCATTGTCCGAACCAATATCAAACGCCAGCTTTCTATCTGGCACAGAGCTGTTTGTACTTGATTCAACTGAGGTCAGTCGGTTCGAGACGCTGATGTCTCCGTCGTACATGAGCGAGGACTGTTGTTCCGGTTCAGCTGTGGAATTTAGGAAACTAGAATGACCATTGGACATCGTTCCACCAGCAGGCTTCGAACTGGAGTTGAGGATTTCGCTTTTGTTCATCCGAATCTTCTCCTGTCTTCGTCTCTCTCGCTCTTTCTTGTAGTACACTGGAGCCAGGGGTCCGGAGTAGTCATGACTGTCGATCTTCCTCGGAGTTCCGAGTCCAGTTGAGGCTCTATTGTTCATCGTTTTCACAGTTGATCCATTCTGCATGGGACGTGTGGTGCCTATATCATTCAGAGCAATCAGAAAAATTGAACAAACCAAAATCAAACAACTGACGAAAAGTTTTTAGTCTAAGAAGCAACAAAAACTGCATCCTCAGTCTTAATCTGAATATTCTTTAAGCTGTCTAACTTGTCCAATGAGCCCACAGGTAAACCCAGTCCGACCTCTTATCAGACTCAGTCCATTATCTTACTCTTACTTACTGGACTTCGCATGGAAAAATTGACCCGAGAAGAAAATATTTCATTTTCTCTACCCAGCATTAGCATTCCTCTCTTGACTTCGGTCGCATTCTAATGTGAAGGGAATTCCTCGAGGTAGAAAGACCGAATGGAAGAAGGTTATTTTAGCCTATCAGAATTCAAGTCATCAAAATTCTACAGGAAAAGCGCGACAATTCAGTCTGAAATTTGGACAATCAATTTATTTTGATTGTTAAGTAATTGTCTGCCAGTAGGAACTCGGCCATCAGAATACCCCCCTTACTCCAGTCCCAGCAGTTCTTTCGCTTTGCTCTTTTACTCTCTAGCCTTTAATGTCTGCTTCTACTGCAGAAGATGAAAGCACATGGCGACTATATATTGATTGCACCCACGTGGTCCTTCTTAAGGGCAGATTCTTCGCTAATGCCGCCGGCAAAAAGAAGCAGCGAATAGAACATAAAAATGCCCTATTTTGAACAAACACTAATTAAATTAACGCAACACCAACATGATTTCAAATAAGACTACATTAACAACTTTTTGAAAGAAAAAAATTGGATGCTATAAATGTTTCAACTTATTTCACATTCGGCCATTAGCAATCCATTCACTTGTGCAATTATCGTTTGGAAGTTGACCTCCTTACACATAATCGCAACTTCTTTACTTTCAAACTAGGTCATTTTGCATTGTAACTCCATACTATTGCCACGAATGATAACTGGTCATCGTTTATGTCAGTGAAAATAAACATACTTTTATAGATAAGTCCAAACTGTTCGTATTCACATGTATTTTTGGATGAAATTTATTTTTAACTATTCAATTCACGCGCTGCCACGCCCACTATAATTTGACCCCAAAATCACGCTCGATTTCATCAAATTATGTTGACTAATAACATTTAATGGGCCATTCAACTTAAGCGGGAGTTAAAAGCCATTATATTAAGAGATGAAAAATCTTCGGTTGGTGTTTCAAAAAGAGGCAGAAAATATGTCAGACACAGAGGCGATGCGCAACTTAACTACAAAAAAAAACGTTAAGTGAAATGATAAATTTTCCGGTACAACTCAATGCTGACAGGCGACTCGACTCAATTGCGAAAGCTTTACTTGCGAATTCAATGAAAAATTAATTAAGAACAAAAAGCATGGAAACTAAATTTTTCCAAGTTTTGGTAATCAGATAAATTCATACTTTTCGACTTTAAAAAACTGCGCTCAAAATCCTTGAAATTATAATTGCTAGATGACTAGCAGCTTAAATCAAATTTAACACAGAGGCAAAGCTAAGCATCGCACCACTTTCGATACAATTCTGCACAAAAATTCTCGTCACCTGTTTCCTCGGCTGAAATCTCAATCTCGGATTTGGCAGGGTAGTGTTTGAGATAAGTCAAAAAGTTTCCAAAAAACGGTCCAAAAAATAAACAACTTGACTTTTCCGAAGGCGATAGCTTTTTCTACATAAATAAGGCCGTACCAGCTTATCTAGCAAAACAATTCCGAAATCTGTTATTCCAATTGAACCATTAATATTGAAATTGCAAGGGTAATTTTTTGAGAACCGTCAAACAATTCCAAAAGCACGGTCAAAGTTTCAAAAACTATACTTTTCCTAAGCCATTAGTTTTTTCTTACAAAAAAAACAAATCAAACTCAAGCTATTGCAGGGAATTTTGTCAAATTCCATTATTTCGATTAACCTTTGATAACAGATTTGGCAGGGTAGTTTTCGATAAAAGTTACGAAGTTTCCAAAAAAAAACGACCAAAGACTCACATAAATTTGACTTTTACGAGAATAAAACTTTTTTTCTACAAAAATTGGAGCGTAGCCCCTTACGCCTGGAGGATACCACAGCCTGCTTTTTCGACTGAACCCTTAATTCAAGATGTGGAGGGGTAGTTTGTCACAAAACTTTCAAAAAAATAACCAAACTGTCAAAAAATGGCATGACTTTAATTGTTGTCAATTTTTAGAAAATCAGTGAAAAAGTGGCCGAGGAAAATTGGAACTTAGGCGAAAAATGAAAAAAAAATTGCCAAAGCGTCTCAAAAAAATCATAAAAACAAAAAATACGACTTTAAAATATCTGATTTTGTCGAGCAGGAATACTTTGCCCTCAAAAATGCGCAATAGAAAATGATTATACAAGAAAACAAGCCAAAACCATTTACTAAAAGAAATTTTTTTTAAATATATTAAAAATCAAACAAATATATTAAAAACAAGCTAACGACAAACAGCACCAGATAATATAATTTCAATTTTAAAAAAACTGAAATTGAACCGCACAACCAGGGGAAACTATACCTAAAACCACGAACCCCAAAAAAATTAAGAGTTCGAGAAAATTATTTGAAAAAGAAGTAATCCCGAAAACTGACAATACATATTTACTACCTAAATAAAAGTAGTTTTAATTGAATTTTCAAGAAACAGCATGTCTTAAAATTTACTACTCCTACGTGAACAAAGTTATTTACGGGAAAAAAATTAAAGTACCCGATAGCAATACCATTGCTTATCGCAAGGGTAAATATTATCAGCCAGTTAAAACTAATGATGCTGTTCTGATCACTTTACGAAGTGGAGGGAAGAAACTATGGCGTAGGTTGTGTATTTTCTTCCCGATTATGACTGCCTCGTACGGCAGTCAAGTGTGACACCTACTTCAGTCCTTTCAACAGTCACTTGGATTCGAAAAAAGCTGCCTGTGTTCAAAAAAAATGGTTTGCATATTTCCTATTTTAAGACCAAATTTCAGGAAATTCGGTGACATGACAACTCAGTTTGATGCCACTCAATTTAATTCTAGTGCAATGTTATTGTGATTTTAGCTATTACTAGTCGTTTCGCAGTTTTAACCTTATTTAGGCCCTTTGCCATACCATATCAAGATTTTTTTAAAACGAAAGACTATTGAAACAAGAGTTTATGGACTATTGGAACTTTTTTGGGGGAATTTTGGAATTTATCAAACCATGGTAGTCCGAACCTTATGTTCAACTTGCACAGCAACTGGCTATGACTATTTATAGTATTTTTTTAAATTCATTAAAACCAATGCTGCTATCTTTAAAATCTGCACCAACACATAGGTTCAAACATCTCTCCCCTTATGCTTTCAACCCCGCCGAAAGAGGAAAAATTAAAAAAAAACACCTGAATAAGAAATTTTCGGGAAGATCCGATCGTACTATTTACAGTGCGATCTATACTCCAAGTTAGCTCTACTCCAACAGCTCTTCCTACATTATAAAACTGATTCAAATATGGAGCCAAAAAAGTCATGCCTTAACTTTCTCACTTAAAGATTCTGTGAAAAAGTTTCTAAGAAAACGAGTAGTACCCGTTTCCAATACTCTGGGTCAACACAAAAAATAATAATCCATTTCAGAACACAGACGTAAAACACAATCAACAGAGTTGAATTAGCACATAGGTTTGCTCAGCGATCGGCCAGTAAGCAGACAATACTAGGATAGACGACCGTTCAGCCGAAAACAAAAAAACTCCAGCAATTAGTCATAAAAAGTTAAAAATAATAAGTTTCAAAACTCAACGACTTCACAGATGACACCAACCGAAACATGCAAAAACAAAGTTTCTTCTCCCCATCTAACGACACACTAAGCCGAAATCATTCAAGCGAAAAACGTTTATTTATAAAAACAGACTGTTTTAATCAGAAGAAAGCACAAATTTGAAGGTTCAAACGCCGAAAAAATAAGACACCTAATCCAACTATTCAACTGGATCAATTAAACTGCATCAATACATTTGGAATGATTATTTAGACTCTTTGGAATTCGGAGAAATTTGCCGCGCTCAATTAAAGAAACGATTACGCGTTGAGAATCATAGATAAGTGCATAGTATCGTGCATAATTTAGTCCAAGGAAATTTCATTTGCAAAGTTCCAACAATTGACGAGATTCATTTGAGCTCAGGGAATCATTATCTTCAAAAAAATTTACAAAATTTCCCTTAAAAACTACTATTTCGATAAAAATTAGACTCGAATAATCGAGATAGGTTGTGAACACATGGACTACTGTATAAATAGCTGGTGTAATAAAGATGTTTTTTTTTTCGGCTTTTCGAAAGGAAATTTCTCGGCTCGGCCCAAAAACTTCATAGGCCTTTTGTTTATAAAGATATACTTGAAAAGACTGCTCGTACCAGGAGAAAGCCCTGAATGTTCCGACTGCATTTTAATTTCTACTGAGAAATTTAAACACAGAGACGAAGTTGCACATCGCATACACAAGCAAAAATATGATTGATAACGCTTCTGGGAAAAACTGAATGAGTAAAATTTTGAGTCTAAAAATTTTCATAAGTGACGCAGACCAATTATGAATCTACATAAATGCTAAGCGACGCAAGACAATTATGACGCATTAGCAGTACCACTTAATTTGAAAAAAAAAGAAATTTACCAATAAACATGCCTCAATTTATATAGAGCTGACGCATTTTAACTAGCGTACGAAAAAGTTCATTTAAAACATCCGACCCTGTCCAGGTTCGAACTCCCTTATTTTGCTGCTGGTATCCTCCCTTACCTCTAAACTACAGATTCATGATGCCTTGAAGCTAAAGTGCTATTTGTAATATATTAGTCTGTGTTAAAATCCTTACAATTGGCTGTACTTAATAGCTAGATCAAAATGAACACTTTCAAAATGAAGACACTCTGTCGCAACCAATTGCATCTCAACAATATTTGCGACTTAGGTTGGAAAAAAAAGAAATTTCATACCATAACACAAGCTATGTTTGTGT